TCCTGCAGGAGCTCCAAGACCCTGTGGGTTTGGGCCCACCTTGTGGCTGCTGTCATTGGTGGACGGCTCCGGTCTCTGCAGTGATGTCACCGTGTTAGCAGGACCTCAGCTGACATGGGGACACTTCTATGTTTCCGTCTGAGCTGAGTGAAGTCATTCCACCTTAAATCAGCTGCAGTTACAGTACTGAGCAGAGGCAGGAAGGCAGCTCGTGTCCTCCAGCTTAACCAGCACAGACTCAGGTGTGTCATCACTTCCTTGTTACCTGCACAGGTACAGCCGGCGCTTTGACAGGACACTTTTATGTGAAGGAAGAGAAACGCTGATGTAAATATTCTGATGTCATCAGCCGCAGGTCATGTCACGGTGGCTCCACCCACAGATGCTCGGTGGTGCAGTCGGCTCAAAGCTCGTTTGAACTTTCTCCTGTGGCTGATTGGACGTCCAGCTGTGTGATGCCCTGTATGATGTTAACGTTTGTCCTCTGTGGCACCCCCTGCAGGTGTTCCAGATGATCGTTGAAGGACACAGGAGGGAGGAGAGGAGGAGGAAGGAGGTGGGCTGTCAGAGCGAGGCGGCCGAGAGGAGGGACGCCGCCGTCCAGGTGGATCTGCTGACTCAGCAGCTAAGCTGGAGACACTCAGGTGAGACTCAGGGACATGTGATTTATCACCGTGCTCTCTGAAACACGGAGCTTCAAACTCATATCCAGTCCAACGTGTCTGTAAAGCAGCACTGAAAACAAACCAGCTGCATGTGAAACACACAGTTACACGGACTCAAACACAGGAAGCCTGCCAACACACAAGCCGTTACGCTGGTCGCTATAGCGATGCACCATAGTGCAGCTGTAATAACTGTGTGACGAAGGGCTCGACCTGAGGAAGGAAGAACCTGATTCCACAGGCTAGACATTGGCCCAGGTCCCCTGTGGCACCCAGAGGCCACACAGAGCCGGTCCACACAGATCCACACAGAGCCGGTCCATGCAGAGCCGGTCCACACAGATCCACACAGAGCTGGTCCACACAGAAGTCGCTCCGGGTGGTTTCCTCTGAGGGCTCGAGCCGGCGGACGGACTCAAGGTTCGTCTCTGTGAATGGTGGGTAAAAGGGGGCTTGCCTCGTCGCCGGGCGCCATCTTCGGGTTTAGAGCCTGTGGGCGTCTCACTCACCCGGCCACAGACGTGGAGTCACAGGTAGAGTCACAGTCCACGGCCTTTGTACTGAAGCGACTTCACAGGTGAGAAGATGGTGAACTTCCTGTTCCTGTCCCACACCCGCTGATTAGAAACACCTTCTGCCCCGGTAAACACACCTGAGCAGACACACTGTTTTCTTCCTCACAGATGTCTAAATTTACCCAGAATTCATTGCAGTGCTGACATTGAGACCCTTGATCGCTTCATGTCCAGGTGCTGTCTGAGTTATTAGTCGTGTCCAAATTCATGGGCTGCATCTTCCTGAGGACCCGGCCTTCACGGTCTACGGGGGCCGGGTCCTCAGAAGGTCGGGTAGGCGGGAAGTGAGCGGCTGTGAAATTGGACGGTCAAGCCTTCAGATTAGCGTCACCGCTGTCTCGGTGGAGTTTAATAAACTCGGCCGTCTGCTCCTTGCTATCTAAAATATAACAGGACACTGGAGTAAACTCTCGACCATCTGTTTAATCAGTTTTCTGTTTGACGTTTATTCAGCTGTGTGAAAACCAAGGAGGAAACCACCCGGGGGATTAATAAAGTTTTATCTAATCTAATCTAATAATGTTAATCTCAGCCAAACCGATTTACTCACGAACAAATAAAACACTGAAAAAAAGCCAAACAATAACATTTTAGGTTCTCTAAGTGACTTATATATTACATTTAACCCGAGCAGCGAAAGACCGAGGTGATCTGAAAATGATGTGCCGGGAGTTTGCTGTTCTCGGCGGCTTCAGTGACCCTTGAGCTCTCGGCGAGCTGTCGAGCTGGTGGCAGGGCTCGCAAAATCGCTAGCCCGACGTCTCGGGGCTAGCGATTTTTCCAGTCGGGCTACCAAAATCTATCTCTGCCCTGCTCGTTGGGCTATCGTAGGAAGGAAAAATATATGTCAATGCTTTTGCATTCTTTCGAAATATCATTTTAAGAAAAGGCCCCCATTAGAACCCATGAGAAATGCAAGAAATGCATTATTGCTCAGTCTGCAATATCTTTCCCAGAACAAACACTAATTGCAAATAACATACTAAAAATAAACCTGAAAAATCTGTTTAGAGCAGCTACTATGTTGCAAAGCGCTACCACTACCACTGGCAAAATTTAGCAGTCTTTGCAAACTTCAAAAAGCAAAAGTTGATGATTGTAATTTTTATACAATGTTGTAATTTGTTTTTCAACAATTTTTGATTAATGTTTTATTTCCTTTACAATATTATACTTTAATGTATAATATTGTAAAGGAAATAAAACATCAATCAAAAATTGCTCTCTTTTTTATTCAGGCTACTTAAATTTATTTTGGGCTACCAAAAACTGAAGAGTCCCTGCCCGAAGGGCTACCAGGGATTTTGAAATTTTGCGAGCCCTGTGGTGGGTAGCAGAAGTCTCTGAAAACGTCGAAGCACTTTTGCAAATATGCGATATCTTGATAAACCGAGCAGATATTAGAAGTTTGCACAGCTACATTCTCGCCTGAAAATATGTTAAAAGTTTATTTTGTGACCCAGAGAGAGTAGTAAGAGTAATTTTAAAACTTAGTAGAGGCCGCCATTGCTGAAAACTGGAGTTTGGCTGGGCCGCTCTATGAATTCTGGGATATGGTGGGCCACAAAGGACACACCCGACCGATCCTTCAAATTCGGGGAAAAGCAGGACGCATTTGTCGGCTGCATTCGGAGGAGTCTATTTGGACAGCCTTCGGCGCGTCGCTGTGACGTAATCGTTCTACAAATGCGTCCTCGGGGGATGCAGCCCATGAATTTGGACACGCCCATTAACTGTTTAAAGCAGAGCGCGCTCACACGTACGCCTCTCCCCTCTCAGGTGTTTCCTGCCACTGTGGCGCCTTCCAGGTGGATGAATCAGCAGGGGGCGCTCTGCTGCAGCTCTGCAGGAGTCGGGCATCACGCTGCGGCACCGACCGCCCTGCCCTGCTACCCAGCGTGCCTCTGTTCTCCGAGCACTCTGTTCTGCCTCCCCCGACTCCTGCGGACGTCTCGGCTGCTCCTCCTGGACTCATCGCTCCCCTGAGCCCGGGGCTGGCTGAAGAGGAGGAGCAGGAAGAGGAGCAGGAGGTGCACGTACCTGAGGGTAGGTTTTGTAAGTGTCAGGTTAAATGAGATGTTTGAAGATCGAGTCCACTCAGAGCAGGAAGCCTTTAATCTGCTCATGTGTTCTTGACCTCCCAACCTTTCATCCTTCAGCCTCCTCTCACAGGAGATTGGCTCTCTGCATCAGTCAGTATCTGGGTTATTGATTAGTGATCGGTTCTTTGTATTAATCAGTATTTGAACATTAACTTCCTTTACTCTTCTCCTGCAGAGGAGCGACTCTGCTCTGAGAATGTGTCATTTAAAGAAAAGAAGAAGATGGTGGGGGAGAGGTGGCCTGATGGTGGTGAAAGACAAAAGTCATCACTGGCTGACAAATCGACCAATCACATCGCAGGAAATGCGGCCGGGAAGAGGAGGAGACTAAAGATTAAGCTTCTGAAGAAGGATGAGGAGTCCCACACCAGCAAGCGAGGAGAGGAACAAACAACCAGGATCCCGGAGAGGAAGGAGAACGAGGGGCAGGAGGAGGAGGAGAGAGGAGGGGAGGAGACCATGAAAGAAAGGGGAGGAGTCAAATCTGTCATATTAAAGACTGAGGAGGGTCGGAGACCGAGGAGGATGGTTGGCCCGACAGTCAGATACCTGCTGGAGTCTGAGCAGCAGTCACATGGGCCAACAGCAGCCAATCACAGCAGAGCGAGCAGAGACGTGCGGAGGAGAAAGATGGGGAGGCCGAGAAAGGAGCAGAAGGAGCTGGATGACAGCAGCACGGTGGAGTCCTCAACAGACGGAGGAGCAGAGAGATGGTGGAAGCTCTGCCAGGTCAGTCCTTCACTTGAACGTCACATCACCTTTGTTTCTCTGACCTTTGACCTTCGACTTTACCTGTCTCCAGGTGTGTGGTCTGAATGTCACCAGCCAGGCGTCTCTGGATCTCCACCTTTCCGTCCACAGACCGGCTTCTAGCTGCGCACAAGCTGCTGCTGACCAACAGCAAGAACAAACCAATCACGCGCAGGGTGATGCAGAGGAGAGGGAGGAGCCTCAGAGGCAGAGGAGGACAGTCTGCCAACCAATCAGGTACCTACTGGAGTCGGAGGAAGCGTCACATGGTTCTGGAACAGCCAATCAGACCAATCAGGAGGCAGCTACCAAACCCACAAGAAGGAGAGGAACATCAAAAGATGCTGTTGGGGGCGGGGCTTCAGAGGTGATTGACAGGCCTGAGACTAATGCTAAGGACACAGGTCACATGGTCACAACAGGAGGAAGAGAGGAAGGAAAGGAGGAGCCTCACAGGACAAAGAGGACGATGGTTGGCCGACCAATGAGGTACCTGCTGGAGTCAGAGGAAACAGGTGGTGTCAGAACCTCCAATCACGATGCAGAAAACAAACCCACACAGCGCAGGCGAAGACCAAAAAATGTTTTTGACTTCAGTGAGGCTGGGGGCGGGGTTTCAAAGATGACTGACTGTTCTGATACTGAAGATAAAGAAACACATGGTCACATGGTCTCAACGGGAGGAAGACAGGAAGGGGAGGAGCCTCAGAGGCCCAGGAAGCTCCTCCTCACAGCACCCACCGAGGCTCCTTATTGGTCAAGAGACATAAACTGTGCGAGAACACGTCCCAGCTGGTTGGTCGACTACTGGACCCTGAACAGGAGTGGGAATGGAAGGAGGGGGACAAAGAGGAGCAGAGTGGAGGAGGACGACGAAGAAAGGGAGGCGCAACAAGTCTGTGTGGAGAAGGAGGAGGAGCCTCAAAGGCCGAGGAGGACGATGGTTGGCCCACCAATCAGGTACCTGCTGGAGTCAGAGGAGACAACACGGCGTTCTGGAACAGCCAATCAGACCAATCAGAAGGCAGCTAACAAACACACAAGGAGGAGAGGAAGATCAAAAGACTCTGTTGGAGGCGGGGCTTCAAAGATGACTGACTGTTCTGACATTGGAGATAAAGACACAGGTCACATGGTCTCAACGGGAGGAAGACAGGAAGAGGAGGAGCTTCAGAGACCAGGAAAGACGGTCAGTCCACCAATCAGATGCCTTCTAGAGTCAGAGGTGATAACAGATATTTTACAATCATCCAGTCAGGATGCAGAACACAAGCCCATGTCTTCTGACCTTTACTTGAACTTTACCTGTTACTACAGCCTCTTTTTCTACCTACTCGGATCGACTTGCCGCGGTTTTCAGGTTTCCTATTAGTTCGTAGTTCCTGGTACCAGGTGATGTTCGGCCGGCGTTCCAGGAAATTCGAGCAAATATGAAAATGTGCCCCTGATTGGCCAGTCAGTGGCTTCCCTCGATGAGTCGTGATGGCGTCTCATTCACAAAAATGAAAAGCGCCATTTTTGAAGTTGGGTAGCGACAGAAATGGCTACAAAAGCAATGCCGTGTTCCCGAGTCTGACGCCACAGACCAAGCAGCGGGTCCATCGCGCCTCGACGTCCACCTTTATTGGTGTTGCACATTAATTGCTATAACAATGACCACGTACATTAAGTACTTACCAGATTGTAGTGGAAAACCAGTCATGGCGAGTGGTTCCGAGTAGGTAACCATGGAAATTAGAGCTGGGTATCGTCACTGATCTCTAGAATTGATTCGATTTCGATTCACGAGGTCCCGAATCAATTCGATCCACAATTCGATTCGATTTGAATCGGGTAAATTTAGCCTCAGACAGTCAGAAATATTATAATTCAGGTCATGCATCAGTACATTTCCATATTTTTATATCTATAAAAAGAAAGCTGATACTTGCGGGACTTTATCAAAGGTGTGAGCATCACAGCAGAGGCCTTTGTGTCAAAGTAACTGAGGATAAAACACAGAAAAACATGAAGGCGACTTTCCTGGCCTGGATTTTAACAGATGACCTTAAAAATATTCTACAGTAGATCAAAAACGAAAGAAAACCATGAATCAACACATGAACATGACCTGATGCTGCTGAAGTGAAGCAGAGCAAAGTTTACAGAGGTTTGATTACAGGCACAGCTGAGAGTTTTGCAATTTGCATCATTTTAAAAAGTTTAAATTTGCTCAGTATTGAACAGCAGAAATGAGGCTTTCTTCTCAGAAGTAAGTAAAAGGACAAAAACAGCGGCCAACAGCCTGTAAACAACGGTAGAGTTGTGCGTAACAAGCAAGCGAATAATGCAGAAAACAGATTTTTAGATGGGAAACTGTTCTTGAAGTACAGAGAGAGAGAGCTGTGCATGAAGTGTGATTTTTATCGTGGTGGAAGCAAAACAGCAAAAATCAGAGTGAATTCTTTGTGTTTTGTGTTTCCATCTTTGTACAGAATCCTGCTCTCGTTTAACCTGAGATTCTGGCATTTCGGGCAAAATAAATTTATCCAAGCTAGAATCGATTTTAAACGATAAATTGATAATCAAAGCCCACCCCTAATGGAAACCTCTTCTTTCCCGGCCTTTAACCAGACTTTTCTGCCTCTTTTGTCTTTAGTTAGCTGTAATTAACCCAACGCTCACCTGACCTTTGTCTGACCTTTCCCCTCTGCAGCCGTCTGCCCTCCACCCGTCCGTCCACAGACCAAAGCGACCTTTCGGCTGTCACCTCTGCAACAGGAAGTTCAGCTGTGCCAGCGGGCTGTTCCTGCACCAATGCGATCAGCACCACAGCAATATAGGTGGTCTCTACAGAAACGGATGTGGGGCGGCCCTGAGCAACGCCCAAGCTCCTAAAAACAAACGGGAAAAACAGACCACCCAGGATGACAAGGGGGAGGAGCCTCAGAGGCCCAGGAAGCCCCTCCTCACAGCACCCACCAAGGCTCCTTATTGGTCAAGAGGCATAAACCGTGCGAGAACACGTCCCAGCTGGTTGGTCGACTACTGGACCCTGAACAGGAGTGGGAATGGATGGAGGGGGACAAAGAGGAGCAGAGCGGAGGAGGAAGAAAAAGAAGAAAGGGAGGTGCAACAAGTCTGTGTGGAGAAGGAGGAGGAGCCTCAAAGGCCGAGGAGGACGATGGTTGGCCCACCAATCAGGTACCTGCTGGAGTCAGAGGAGACAACACGGCGTTCTGGAACAGCCAATCAGACCAATCAGAAGGCAGCTAACAAACACACAAGGAGGAGAGGAAGATCAAAAGACTCTGTTGGAGGCGGGGCTTCAAAGATGACTGACTGTTCTGACATTGGAGATAAAGACACAGGTCACATGGTCTCAACGGGAGGAAGACAGGAAGAGGAGGAGCCTCAGAGACCAGGAAAGATGGTCAGTCCACCAATCAGATGCCTTCTAGAGTTGGAGGAAACGTCACATGATTCTGGAACAGCCAATCACACTGATCAGGAGGCAGTTGCCAAGCTCACAAGAAGGAGAGAAAGATCAGATGCTGTTGGCCTCTGTGAGCCTGGGGGCGGGGCTTCAGAGATGATTGACAGGCTTGACGCTAAAGTTAAAGACATAAGTCACGTGGTTGAAAAGGGCAGAAGAAAGGGAGATGAGAAGAAGGAGGAGCCTCAGAGGCTGAGGAGGACGATGGTCGGCCCACCAATCAGGTACCTGCTGGAGTCAGAGGAGCTGTCACGGGGTCAAAGAACAGCCAATCAGGACACAGAAAACAAACCCACACACAGCAGACGGAGCCCAAAAAAGGTTGGTAGCCACAGTTAACTGATCAATCAGGAGGCAGCTAACAGCACCTGCCATTAAGTTCTTAGGTCGACCATATTAAAGATTGAACCTATCTCTAATGATCGGCTATGTACCACAGGCCTTCAAGCTGGCTGTAGTTAAACCTTTACTCAAAAAGCATCTCTAGACCCAGCAGTCTTAGCTAATTATTGGCCAATCTCCAATCTTCCTTTATATCAAACATCCTTGAAAGAGTAGTTGTCAAACAACTAACAGATCATCTTAGACTTTTAGAGACTTTCTATTGTCATTGTGCAGTTTCTTGCACAGCGAAATTGGGTAGCTGGATCACAAAGGTGCTAAAGTAAAAAGAAGAGAAACCAATATACAACGAAGGCAGAAAATAAATAAATAATTAAATCAATAGCATAAAATAAAAAACAGTGTATATGTATACATATGTGAGTGGAACTATATACATGGTGTATGTGGAAGAAACATTGAAACAGACTGGGACCAAAATAATTGCACAGAACATGGAAAGACTGAGATATTGCACATAGATGATCAACAGCAGTGTCAGGGTGGATGTGTTGGGGAAGTCTTTACACACTAGTTTGCATTAAGAGTTCTGACAGCCCACGGGAAGAAGCTGTTCTTTAGTCTGTTGGTTTTGCACCTGATGGATCTGAGCCTTTTTCCAGAGGGCAGGATGTTGAAGAGGTGGTGGTTAGGATGGAGGTGGTCCTTTATAATTGCCCTGGCTCTGGAGAGACATCTTGAGCTGGCAATTAAGTCCAGGGAGTTCTGATGACCCTCTGTAGTCTCTTCTTGTCAGCTGTTGTGCAACCAGCGTACCACACAGGGATGGTGTGCACCAGCACACTCTCGATAGTGGCACGGTAGAAGGACCTCTGCAGAGGAATGGCTTATTTGAAGAGTTTCAGTCAGGTTTCAGAGCTCATCACAGCACAGAAACAGCTTTAGTGAAGGTTACAAATGATCTTCTT